TTTCAAGATCAACACTAGTGTTCCTAGTCCTGGCTTGAAACATAGATTTGAGAGGTGATATATGTGTTTTGATGGGACCAAGAATGTTTTGAAAAAGGCATGCAGACCATTCATTGGACTAGATGGGTGCCATTTGAAACACAAGTATGGTGGTATTTTACTCATTGACTAAAACTATATTCAATTTTATACAATCAATTATATCTCATATTATGTCAGGTCAGATTGTGTCAAAACTATGTTCCTTGAATGAAACTACAAAATGAACATACCAATTGAACAATACTAAATGAATTACATAAAATTCCAATTTGTATTTCAAACCAATTCAAGATTACAAAACAAGTACATGTTACATTTCACAACATACCACATAGACAAGATTAATACTTACACAACATTACAGAAGATTACACCTAATCAACAATTACACCTAATTAACAAATACAAATTGATCAAGACTGAAACTACAAAACATATTGTCTTCAGCTTCCCCAAAATGTCTATGCCTTAATCTTCATCTTCAACCTTTTGTTCTTCTTCATGGATGATTCATAGAGCTCCTTTAGAGTTTCTAAAGCTTGCATTTCCCTCACCTTACTCTCGTCCTTCCTCTATTCTGAATCTACGTATTCATCATCTTTCTTTTCTTGTGCAATTTCATCATCCAAAATAAATAAATTGCAAGTACCCTCATTTTTCCAATACGGATATCTCCAAAACAATTGACCTTTGTTCATTCCGTTCTTGCACAGGCATGAAATCATAACACCATTGCATCCACACCTTTTCACTCCACGGTTCGTCAGACTCGTCTAATAGTACGAAACTACTTTGTTTAACCTAGATGAAGACGACATATTTCTGAGATGGATGGGGGAGACGAATAAGAAGAAGAAGAACGATTGGAAGGAATAAGAAGAAGATGAAAAATGTGAACAAATGAAAATAATGTGGTGTTATGAAGGAAAACTGTAAACAAAAGGATTATGAATCACTTAGTTTTTTTCTACTATTTATGATAAGAAAAAAATTACCAAATCAAACTGACGTGACTATGACAAGGATCTCTGCGGCATGCCACATCACCCTCCGTTAGAGGAAACTAACGGAAGGAACCATTTTTCTAGACAAAAAATTTTGTGAAGACCATTGTTTAAAATAAAATTTTGAAGGAACTAAAATTGAAAGTAGATATATTTACATGAGATGTATATTTAACTCAAAGTTTAATAATCTATTAGAATGCAAATGTTGTAAAACTCCTTCATAGTAATTTCGAACCACTTAGCAATAACTTTAATGTGATATATTTTTACTCATTCAACTCATGTCCTATTTACATGTTAATCAAATAGGTCAAATTTGAGTGTATTATTGAAAACAATGAAAAGATGGTTCGGCCGCAATGTCTATAACAAACTTGTCGTATGAACTTCAAAACAAAGGTCAAAATGTTCCCCAAACACCATTCGAAATTGTGGAGAAAACAATGTATTAATTTACCTCAAACTTAGCAAATACAAATTGATTCTTCCATTTGGTAACCATATACATTTTGAAGGTTATTTAATGCATTTAATGAAGAAAAATAATTATTTGCATCTATAATATAATGATAAGATTTTAATATTTTTAGTTGTATTATAATGAATTTGGATTTTTTTTTATATATCATGTCATATCTCATATTTTTAATCTAACAGTTCAGAATTTATAATAAATAATTAAATAAAAAAACAAAGACAAATTACTTATCCATTTCTCTCTCCTATTAAATAAATTTTTTTATTTAATTATTCATTATAAATTCTGAACCGTTAGATTAAAAACATAAGAGATGATATGATATATATAAAAAAAAAAGAGGATTCAAATCTGTATTATAATAATATCCTTCAAAAACTTTCTTAATAAATATTTTTCATCTCTATTTTACTATTTATTTCAAAACAAAATAATTTCTTACCTAGATTATCTAGAAGGGATTTTTTGTATTTTAATATAAATTGTAATACAAAGTTAAGTTAATTGTATATAATTAATGAATAGTTGAATGTTTCTTTTTTATCCAAATTATTTTAAGTTTTTTTTCACCTCTATTTTACTATTTATTTCAAAACAAAATAATCTCTTATCTAGATTATTTAGAAGGGATATTTTTGTATTTTTCTTTAATTTATCTAAAAGGGATGTTTTTGTATTTTTCTTTAATTATAAATATTTAACCTTTAAAATATAAGTTTGCATTATTTATAAATTAAATATTTTTCTTTGATTGTATTTTTCTTAATAATTCAACTTAATGCACTTTAACGAAAAAAAATTTATATATATATATATATATATATATATATATATATATATATATATATATATATATATATATATGTATATATATATATATAATTTTATTTATTTATTACTAAAAGTATTAAGTAATTTATTTCTAAATGTTTTATAAAATTAATAACTTATTTTATTAAATTAAACACTTAATAGCGGTACAGACTATTAATTTTTCAATTCAGAGATTACTATCTTCATAATTTATTTTATTTTAATTAATAATTAAATAGAAACAACATTCTTATAATTAAGTGAAAAATATCATTTTTATTTGCAACTGTGCCAAAGAAAAGCAAACAGACATAGACTAATAAATAGTAAAGTCAATGTGAAAAAAATGTTTTTAACAACTTGATTACCACATAGTGAAAGTCAAGAATCAAATTTTGAACTTCAAATTCAAAAGAATTGAACCATTGAATCAAGGAACGTGGGTCCTACAATTTTTCAAGTCATTTTTTATGCCTTTTCTAATCCGCATTTTCCCGAGAACTCTCTCTCTGCATGTCTTTAATTTGAAAAATTCTCGTTCCACTTACAGACGCGCATTCTTCATTTATTACACACTTCGTTGAAAACTCGGAACCCACCCAAAATAATTTCTTCATCTTCTCTCTGATCAATTTATCGTTACATTTCAGGTATATTTCTCTTCAATCTTCATTCTAGTTTTTTCGTTTCTCTGATTCTTCTACTTTTTTTAGTTTTATAATTACTACTCTGATTAAGGTTCGATTTTTGTGTCGTTCACAGTTTTTATATTTTGGGATTGTTATTTGTGTTTTTGGTAGATCTGTTTCATGTTTTATTTTGAATACGTTAGGGTTTTAATTACCCTGTGTTTGTGAATGGATTGCACGGTTTCTTCTGTTTAAGGTTTGTGTTTGGTTTTTTTTTTATTAGGTATTTTTTTTGGCTGGTCAATGGGATGGTATTTGAATTGTCAATGTTTAAAATTAGTGTCTTAGAATCAGTCCTGTAAAGGGATACTGATTGCGGTCATCACAAAGACTTTTGCGATTTTGGTCTGGATAGGTGCTGTGATACTAATTGAGATCATCACAGTTTGAATTAATCACAATTTCTTTTTCATCATAAAAACTGTGAATAACTGTATGCGGCACCTTCTGATCCTATTTTGTAACCTTGGTTAGAGTATTACATTGTGTGTAGTGTGCTTGTTTTTTGTTTTTCTGACTTCAATTTATTTTTGTTCTATGGTATGTTTGGTATAATGTGTGTTGATTTTCATGAGAAGAACACATATTACTAATGAAAATTTAGTGATGTGTTTTCATTTGGGAAATTTATTTTAGATTGCTTTCTAGTTTCTAGTGATATGGATATTGAGTTGGTTTGATGATTGCCGGGTGCCGATCATTTGATTTTCTCCTTTATCAGATCAATGTGTCTCTGTAGTTTGATTCTTGAGGTTTAGGCTTGTTTAGACCACACTTTGATTACTCCAAAGTGTTTTCGACGGGGGGAAGGTAAAAAATCTGCCGTATAAAGATACTACTGCGGCCTATGGCGTAACCATGGCGGGAGTTCTTTCACAAATTGCTCTTATGACAGTAATAAAATAATCTGCTACGCCATTCTGCCATACAAACACGCTATTGTAGCCTATGAAGCACAAGCACAGTCACCTCTGAAAATAGGTGTGTTAGGGTCCGTGTCAGTGTTGGACACAGACACTTGTGATTACATTCAAGTGATTCATTTTTTTAAAATTATTACTAGTGTCGGTGTCATGTTCAGTGTCCGCGTCTGGGTCTGTGCTTCATAGATTGCTGCCTATGGTGCCACCATCTCGAGCGACCTTTCACAAATTTCCTATGGCAGTTGCCAAAAGGTCTGCCACGCCTTTCTGCCATAACGACACCATGGCCGCTATTTAAAAACACTGTTTTCTGGTAAGCAGACTGTTTTTGACACCGAGTGTGTTTCACGGCATTCATGTTCTTCCTTTGCATCTATCAACATGCAAATTCTATGGTTAATGATGTACAGCGACAAAGATAACAAGCCAGCCTTATTTTATCAGATGATGTTTCATATAACAAAATTCAATGCTTAGGAAGGGGACAATTTAGGATCCAAGTGTTTCTTTGCCGTCTTTATACCCTTGTCTTTTTTCTATCCCCTTGAGTACCAATTCAATGACCCTATGCCTGCAAACTTCCACATTTGACCTGGTCATGTTAATATACACAGATTACTTTTCGTCTTTCTCTAGTCTGTTTTTTTGGGTTTGTTTATTCATAGCTAATCAGGACTGGTCAAAGTTAGTAGTTGTGAAGAACCAACCATGACAGTTTTTCTTTTGTAAATATACAAATGGATTTTCACTTCCATTTCTTTTGATGAGTTGGATTATAGCTCTATTATTTGTATTAAATAGGGTACACAATTGACTTATAGTCAATGCTGTAGACGGCATTCCGTGCCTTCTTACAATTTGCACTTGCACAAAATATTAGTGTTTCTCATTCAGGTAATCAGTTTCTTGGAAGAAACAGTACGGTGCATGTATACCTAACTAGTTATGCTAACGATATAAAAAAAGTAAACAAGAATAATTTTGTATGGATTTTAATTCCAATGTTTTTTCTTGTCTCACAAGGAAGCTGGTGATTTCTCGTGCTAGCATGACATTGAATAATCCACTCTTTGATGATACTCGGAGCAACAGAGATGTTGATCCTCCTCTAAATGAAGAGTCAACAGATGTTGTTGAATTTGTCAATGATCCTGTACAAACTGCAAATAAGCCTACCGGAACTGTTTTAAGCAGTGTTCGTGAGCTTCTAGAGTGTCCTGTATGCCTGAGTGCCATGTACCCTCCAATCCATCAGGTTGTTCATCGATTATTAATGACGGTTCTATTGTTGATTTTTTGTGTTCTTGATTCAAATTAAATATCCTCTTAAAATAAAAGAAATTTAGTTAACTTATTTACCTTTTGTTGCTATTGCAGTGTTCGAATGGTCACACTATATGCTCGGGTTGCAAACCGAGAGTACATAACCGGTGCCCGACTTGTAGGCATGAGCTGGGAAATATTAGATGTCTAGCACTGGAAAAGGTGGCTGCATCTTTTGCACTCCCTTGCAAATACAAAGAGTTTGGGTGCATTGGTATATATCCTTACTACAACAAGCCAGAACATGAATCCCAATGTTCATATAAGCCCTATAACTGTCCATATGCTGGTTCAGAATGCCCTGTTGTCGGTGATATATCCTTCCTGGTGAACCATTTGAAAGAAGATCACAAAGTGGACATGCACAATGGTAGCACTTTTAACCATCGTTATGTCAAATCAAATCCTCAAGATGTCGAAAATGCCACATGGATGTTAACGGTATTATTCTTTTGTTGAACTTTCTCTTCTTTTCTTCTATTGACTCGGCAAATTTTCTAGTCTGTTGGTAGATTGCTTATTTTGGTGCATGTTTGGAAGTACACATGTCTGTTTGCATCGGTTGATGAGAAGGTAGCACTGTAATTAACCTCTGTAGCATCGATACCTCTGAAAAGAGATGTGTCAGTGTGTTGTGTTTCTAGTGTCTGTGCTTCATAGTAATTAACCATGTCACTTTCTTTACTTCCTTAAACAAGAAATATGCAATATTGCGAATTGTGGAACATGTAACTTCGAGTTTTATATTTTGAAGTTGTATTTAAAGGAACTATTTGTACAAGGGTCTGATATAAGCATTTCATTTTTATTTCTACAAAATAATTGGCTTTTAAGTGATTTATGGATTACACACTGGTTTACAGGTTTTCAGCTGTTTTGGCCACTTCTTCTGTCTACATTTTGAAGCTTTTCAGCTCGGAATGGCTCATGTCTACATAGCCTTTTTGCGGTTTATGGGTGATGATAGCGAAGCGAAAAATTATAGCTACAGTCTAGAGGTAGGTGGAAATGGGAGGAAGATGGTTTGGCAGGGAGTACCAAGAAGCATAAGAGAGAGTCACCGCAAGATTCGCGACAGTTTTGACGGTCTCATTATTCAGAGGAACATGGCTCTCTTTTTTTCGGGCGGTGACCGGAATGAGTTGAAGCTGAGGGTCACTGGCAGGATTTGGAAAGAACAATGACAAGAAAGAAAACAATGTCCTTTCTTTGATTATAAATTATATTTAGACTTAATAGTTTGCGGGGAATATGTAATTTGTTTTGTTTTTTTGTAATTTAGAAGGCAATGTCTCTTTGCTTATCCTTACATCAAATACATGAACAAGAAAGTGTACTTCCTAGCTATCGATATGATAATTTTAATTCTATTGAAATGATTTTGCAGGCACATGATGGTAAGCTACAATCATGTAGTAATCAATCATGAACCTATAATAGGGGATTATAAGTCCCGATCGGAATTACCAAACCGGGGATTACAAGTCCCAATCAGAATTACCAAACATTCCTCTAGCGTACAGATTGAAGGAGAAGAATTATTTGAAGTGCTCTCAAATTTGGAAAAGTAAAGGGAATGCAGAATGCCTAACTGAAGAATCTTCGAAAGAGATGAATTCCAAGATTAAGAAGTGAGATACTTAAGAGAACAATAACTATTGCATTGATTATGGAGGGAATGCATAACGCCTAACTGAAGAATCTTCGAAAGAAACGAATTCCACATTTAAAGAGTGAGATACAAAGACAACAATAACTATTGCATGATTATGGAGTTCAACAATTTCATGAATCGGTGATACTTGCGTGTTTTTCAATACAACAAATCAGTGGTTAACTAAGAAGAAATTGGTCAAGATGGGGTTGATCAGAAGAAATGTGGAGGAAAGAAGAAAGTTAAATGAGCGTGGCATACTTATTGTATTGCAACAAGCCTCGCCACACACAAGAAAAATGCTAAAAATTGAATCCTTATAATTGTATTCACTCAGAGCATCTTTAATGAGAGTAAATTAATAGGTAAACTAAGATATTTTTTGTGAGTTCAAAGTATTTTGTAGGATTTAAAAAATTTATAGTTGATTTGAGTAGTTTTTACTTTAATGATGGTTGTCTATAAGAAACCAAAATTTGACCCCACTATTTTCAAATATCATGCCATTACTTTAATACTGTTGGAATATTTTATTAATTTAATAAATAATATTATAATATATTTCACATAATTAACGTTAATTATATAGATAATGGGAACTAAATTTTAGTTCACTTAGATGTCATGTCAGCTCTAATATAATGCAAATTCTTTATTACTAACGTAAGCTATACAAAATTTTGGTTTAACAACCCTGCACTAAAGTTGCTCTCACTTCTCTCCTTATTCACCCTGCCCAAATAACAGAACCAAAAAAAAATCTGCAGAGCAATTGGTATCCTTATAATTGTAACAGGTCAATGGATTGTCCAATTTACGGGTTAATATCCAATCCATTTCTTTGTCCCTCCATTTTCTTCATTATTATAGTTTTGTGTAATATAAAATCAACTAAATATTAATTATATATCACATGTCATAAAAATGTGTGTTATTTACACACAAAACTATAGTAATGAAGAAAATGGAGGAACAAAGAAATGGAGTGGATATTAATCCCCAATTTACTCCATCCATCAGTTCATTGAACTGAACCATATTTATAGTTTGATTCAATTTGCAATAATCATTTCAATAAAAGTTCAACTGTTAAAATAGTTACAATTCAATTAAAAACTAATTTAGAACTAGTTTATATTTATAAACTAATTTATTATCGGTTTACAATTTTAAACCACTTATATATTTTGAACTCTTTTAAAACCAAAATTTTTTAACTTCATAAAAATTTAAATTTTTTTATATTAAAAAAAATATTTTTCCATAATATTTATTTTCAATTCTTTTTTATATCATATTTTGTATTTTCGGAAAAAAAATGTTTTATCATTTTTTCATATTTTAGAAAAAAAAACTCGTTTTTCACTTTTTTTTAGAAAATCGATTTTTTGTATTTTTGAAAAAATATTGAATTTTCGTGTTTCAAAAAAATCCGATTTTTCGTATTTTTGGAAAAAATCGATTTTTTTGTATTTCTAAAAAAACTCGAATTTCTATATTTTTTGAAAAAACTCGACTTTTTCATATTTTCAAAAAACTCGACTTTTTCATATTTTCGAAAAAACTCCACTTTTTCATATTCTGAAAAAACCCGACTTTCACATATTTAGGAAAAACTCAACTTTTCATATTTTCGAAAAAAAACTCGACTTTTTCATATTTCCAAAAAAAAACTCAACTTTTTCATATTTCCGAAAAAACTCGACTTTTTCATATTTCCGAAAAAAAATCGACTTTTTATATTTTCGGACAACTCGACTTTTTCATATTTCTGAAAAAAACTCGACTTTTTCATATTTTCGAAAAAACTAGACTTTTTCATATTTCTAAAAAAACTCGACTTTTTCATAATTCCAAAAAAAACTCGACTTTTTCATATTTTCAGAAAAACTCGACTTTTTCATATTTATGAAAAAACTCGACTTTTTCATATTTTTTTGAAAAAAACTTGATTTTTTCATATTTTCGAAAAAGCTCGACATTTCATATTTTCGAAAAAACTCGACTTTTTTATATTTCCAGAAAACTCGACTTATTCATATTTCTGAAAAACTCGACTTTTTCATATTTTCGAAAAAACTCGACTTTTTCATATTTCCAAAAAAACTCGACCTTTTTTTTTATATTTTCGAAAAAAACTCGACTTTTTCATATTTCCGAAAAAACTTAAATTTTTCATATTTCTGAAAAAACTCAATTTTTTCATATTTTAGAAAAAACTCAACCTTTTCATATTTTCGAAAAAACTCGACTTTTTCATATTTCTGAAAAAACTCGAGTTTTTCATATTTCCGAAAAAACACGACTTTTTCATATTTTTGAAAAAACTCGACTTTTTCATATTTCCTAAAAAGCTCGACTTTTTCATATTTTCGAAAATACTTGACTTTTTCATATTTCCAAAAAAACTCGACTTTTTCATATTTCCTAAAAAAAGTCGACTTTTTCATATTTATGAAAAACTCGACTTTTTAATGTTTCCATAAAAACTCAACTTTCATATTAAAAAAAATCGACTTTTTCATGTTTTCGAATAAAAATTGACTTTTTATATTTTCGAAAAAAAACTAATTAATTTTTATAATGAAATCAGTTTATAAAAGAAAATTGGTTCAAATCGGTTTTAAACTGAATTTGAATTGTTTTAATTAAATGGTTCAGTTCATTAACTATTTAAATGGTTCATATTTTTTTATAGTGCAATGCAGTTCAATTCAAATATACAATTTAGTTAATCATATTTTTGAACACCTCTACTTTAAACAACATCTTTTTACATCCAAAACTATTCATTAGCCTACTTTCCATACAAAACTCATAAAAGACATATCGAGTAAAGTTATTTCCTATTATAATACTTGTATTTTTTGGATATGAATTCGGGGATGACGATTGAAAATACTAGACAATACAATAGAATGATCTTTACAACTCGTATAACCAAGATTCACACAAATTATTTCTTATTTTATTTAAAACATTAGATGTTAAGATTTTTTATTGAGTGTGTGGGCTAGCAAAACACATCTGTTTCGGTCAATAATAAAAATAGTTATTTTTATTTTATCTATTTTTTACAGATGCGTCTGATCCATTAAATATTTCCAATATCTCATATGTGTGTTGTTTTGTAACCTTTATTGATGATTATTGTTATAAGTACAAAAGTAAATGTATTTTTATATCGTCCATGAGAATTGATCGTGTTTCAAAAACCATTCAATAGTTTCTATTATTTTAAGAATGTTTTTTCAAAGGTTGTTTGTTTGTGAATTTAAAAAATGATAGAAAGTAAAATGACACGAAGTAAATTGAATTTTGGTGTTAACAATTAAGAAAACTTGTTGAGGTTATATTTCATCGACTTATCCTCATGTATTATCATTATCAATAATATGCAATTCTAATCAGCTTTATTCAATACAATTACATTAAAGTTCAATAGTTAATATGAATATTAGGCCTAAATCTATCTTTAGAGTTTAACATATCTAATAAATGAAAAGTTTGGATCTAGTAATGACAAGTACCTTTCTAATATTGAGTCAACCCATGAAAATATGTTTTAGGTATCTAATCCAAAACAAGCATTACGAAAAAAAATTAATCAGTATTAAAGAATAAGAAGAATTACATAGAACGTCATGCTCGTGATCAATACATGAGTATTAGGAAGACTATATCTAAACCAACAAAATATAAACTAGCTACTCTTACTCATTATAGATTTACAATTAAGACCTAGAAGAAAGAAGTTGAATACCATTCGTGACGATTCCTCTGACAATATTTATGCTCTCAATATTCCTCTCCTGTTGTGATTTTGGTATCAAGTCTGTTTCTAGAAACACTACAAAGAATCCACCACCAAGTTATTTCCAATGCATCGACTATCAACCTTATTTATAGAGATTGATTTGCCCTTCTCGCTTATCACGTCTACTTTCTTCTGCCCTAAGTTTTGCCAAGTCGAACCTTGGAAGCAAGCGACTTAGGCAAAAAAAAATAGGGCATCCCGCTGGACTTCAAAATCGAAGAAACTCAATAGAGTTAGTCCAGATAAAAGTTAGGGAATGAAAAAACAAAAAGCAAAAAGGATTACAAAAGAAAAAACCTCGAAAAGAACGAAATTGTGTGGCTACCGGTGCCCAAACAAAGACGAAAAGTGAGTGATTGTCACTCCGAAAACTTGTGGTTTCCTAAACCGTCACTCCTGTCATTCTACCTTTGAAAGGTGAACGCTAAGGTCGAATTAGCTGAACGTAAGATTGGAGAACATCTCGAAGAATGGGTGGGTTAAAATGAATTTTGGGCCTATATCCTTTCCTTCATAAACCGTAAACCTGACCACGTTACAACCTGGAAAAGTCCTAATTGAAGCAGGTTTGTTTCGAAAGCATACTTCGGTAAAGATCGCATCGAAACTGACTCCCAATAAAGGATTCCTCTTACAGCGTTGTATTGATTTTAACATCTTGATGAATGATTCATACATTTTATGTCACAAATTTTTTTCCAATGAACCGAACT